TCATTCCTGAACCGAAGCTGCAGGCTGCAAACAACCCCCGGCATAGTGGCGGCACTGGGACTCGGGGCACGTGTTTTCTTGTTTCGCGGGCACTTCAAGCAGAACAATGCATCAATGCAAAGCCAGTCTTTGAGTATGTAAGTGCATGTGTATATACATGTATATGTTTCATTTATAAATAAATATATATATATANNATATATGTATATATAGATAGATAGATAGATAGATAGATAGATAGTTAGACAGACAGACAGACAGACAGACAGACAGACAGACAGACAGACAGACAGACAGACAGACAGACAGACAGACAGACAAATAGATAGATAGATAGATAGATAGATAGATAGATAGGTAGGTAGAGAGATAGATAGACAGATAGATCACAACAGCCTCAAGCCCTAAACCCTGCCTCAAACTGCCCAGGTTCGCCGATGTGCCAAACGGCCTTAGCGCATTCAGCAAGGTGCGCCTGGCTAGTCTCTGCAGTGTGGGATCCGGTTGTTTAAGCTTTATATGGGCTAATATGGGGGGTTTCCGAAAATAGGGGACCCTAATATGGTACCCTAAATAATAGGATCCCTATTATAAGGACCCCAAAATAAGGTACCCTAATTTTCTGAAACTCCCTATAGGGGCCTAAAGAATTTCCAATATAATTTTGGGGGGTCGTTATCACAAATATAGTAGAATGGGCCCCAAAACCCTATTCTAATTATTATGGCTCCTGTATTATTTCGTGTTTGTAGTTGGGTTAAGGCCAGGGTTTAAGGGTTCAGGGTTTAGGGTATTGTGGCTTGAGGGCTTGCGGGTTACTCTTCCTACAAGCTTGCAGCGTGTATACTGTCCACCATACTTCTACAACTTATACAGGCTATGTGGCATTTGCTTTTCTTTCTTCTCAGCTTCGCGGTTGCAGTCATTTGCAGTTGTGGTTTCTCTTCGCGTTGACTTCATTAGGATGCTCTTTGCCTTCCAATATTTAGCTTCTCTTCTTGTGACTAGGATCCCCTCAGCTTTCTCAGCTCAGTTTCGCTATTGTTAACAGCAAGCAGCAAGCATCACTACTACAGTCAGTAGCTCATGATGCATCTTCACTTGTCTTTGACCTCACTTTTGTCCTCGTGCCCGCAGAGCATTCTACAAGAGAACGTGAGCCATGAGCATCTTTATTGTCAGCACTGCCGCCGTAGTACCAGTGAAGGGTTGCGCCAATGCACTTACAGTTAGCAGTGCCAGTGTTATTTCAAGGGTGACACCACTTATAGCAAGAATAGTTGTTATATTCCCACTGGTGATGGTCATTGTGACGACAATAGCACCGTCATGATAGAACTCGTAGCTGAGTTGGGCGGCTGTGCAAGGTTTGCTCGAACTATCTTACATCTAAAAGCGCTTTATACTATGGTTCTACATGTATAATAGAAGCTATGTACATCCTGCATCTTTGGGGCTTCACTCGATGTTGGGGTTGCGGAAAGCCCCTCGTCTTCGACCCCGGAGGGTCTCAGTGGGTCCTTAACACCAAGGGCTCGAAAGCCCTGAGTCGCCCACGATTCACGGTTTAGGGTTTTGGGTTTTGGGTTTAGGGTTTAGGGTTTAGGGCTCCGAATTTGAAAGAAATGCCCCCCAAATCCCCTGAAACGCAGAGCTTGCCTTTCAGGTGCCAGCCTTCGGATGGCTTCAGATCGTCGGCTTCGCTGGCATCGTCGAGGTTAACATCTACAACGAGCAGGACCGAGGGGTTTAGCGCCCATCTTCAAAAAGGAGACGCGTGTGAAGCCGTCATAACGCTACATCCCCGAACCCCAGGATTTGCAACTGAGGGGCTACGAACAACAAGCAAGATGCCTTGTTCCACAACATAACAGGGCCATCGCGAGCGGTCATGGTCGTGATAAAAGAGTCGCAACGGCATTGGAAGCGTAGTCATGATCAAGTGCAAAGAAAGAGCACTTGCACCTTCACCGCTGGATAGACTCCAGCCACAAACTACCCACCCACACACACACACACACAAAACAGCACAGACGCACACACGCGCAAACACACACATGCACACACACACACACAAACTACACCAAGCAACCGAAACATTGAACACGCGAAGTGGCAGGTCAACAATGAGCCCGGCAACTACGGCGCCGGCTTCCTCGGGCTGAGGTGCCCAGGTTGCATAGCTTGCGGAGGTTCGGGCGTAGACAAATAATACCCAACGGAAATCAATGGAATGGATCAATAAGCAACGCCCTTCGCCTCCTCCTCCTTCTACTTCTGAATAGTTAATAGTTAACAATTCAATTATTACGACTACGCCGACTACAAGCTACCGCTACCGCCACCATCAACGCTAGTTACTACCTGTGCCAGAATTACTACTACGACGGCGACGCCCTGTACTGCTAGGACGACGACTTCTACCAGCACACAAGATCGGTTTGCATCGCGACGCGACAAACAGTAGTGATTCTACCAGCCATGGCAGCGCCAGAACCCGAAGCCCAAAATCCTGAACCCCAAACCGTGGAGCTTTGAAGCTTGAAAGATCCATAAGCCTGCAGGCCGTGAGCCCTGAACCCTGCTTTCAAACCCCGTTTATATCTGCTAAATCTACATGCCCGGCGGCCCTCAAGGCCTGTTATGCTCACAGAATAAATCCAACTGAATCCAAAAACCTTGAACCCGCGCCATGGCTCAAGCCGTTGAGAGCCTCTCGCAACTCCCATTAGCTATGGTGCGGCTCCTAGCTGTGTTGGCCGCAGGCGCCTTAGCGGCGCACCCTGATGGCAAGGGTGGTGGCGAGCCGGTGCCGGAGGCAGAGCGGGAGGAGAACGCAAAGCGCATTCCATGCCCTTTTCTGGCAGGGCTCTACCAAGAAGGTATCTTGAAGCCGGATGAGTATGGCCGCGTCAACTCCCAGCATATGAAGGAGGCCATGATGGCGGCTGGCTCTACTGTCCCGAATGCAATCTTTCCTTCCTTTGGCACGGTGCGCTTCAAGGAGGACGACCTCCACCAGACCAAGCGACACTGGGACTATGGGCTCATCCCGAGTGGCGTCATCGATGACTTCGGGTTAGAGAAAGATTTGTCGACGCTATGGCTGAACATCATGACGATGAACGTCCCTGACAAGTGCATCGATGCAGCGGGGCATGCTGCCATGCCAAGCAAGTTTCCCTGCAATGCGAACCCGCAGCATGTGCAGCACGGCTACTCCACAACCATTCGAGATCCGAGGTACGATGCGGAGGACCCAACACGTGAGAAAAGGTACAAGGACTGGATTGAGCCTACGTTGGTCAAGAACATGACCCTCAACGCCACTGAGCGGGTCATGACCTTTGAGGGCTTCACAGCTCTGCTGGCAAGAATGACCGTGGAGGGTGATCTCAGTGGCGAGTGGTCGCTGAAGCCGAACTTTGAGTACGATGGCAGCAACGTGCAGCACTACCATCCCCATATCAGCCAGGTGAATGCCGAGGCTCTATACCACTGGGGCCCGTGGCTGGCTTGGGTGGGCCTCTGGGAGGCCTACGGCTATCCGTACCCGGATGGATCGAAGGCGAAGTACATGACGGAGAGTGATCTCCGTCGCTTCCTTCTTCACGGCAAGCTGCCGCTTGGCTGGAGCCCGAAACCCTTCACCTTGGAGGATGTTGGCTACACGATGATTGCCTTCAAGGGGCATCAAATCCCCTTCGGCGACCTCTACTCCGAATCCTTAGCCAAGAAGTTTCCGCTCACGAGCTTCCTCCCGAAGGTGCTCGGCGCTGAGTGGAGGTACATGAGGAACTATGCCGACAACCAGCGCTCTCTTGGCTTTTTCGAGGACAACATCGTCAATCCGATGCCTGGGCCGAGCGCCCTCGTGGTCTGAGCCTCCAGGTGCAAACGCAGCGCGGATTTTTCCCACCTTGCATCTCCTGCCGAGGCCACAAAGGGGAGCAAAGCAAATCGAGGGGAGTCCCAAGGACTTGCCCCCCTAAAAGAAAGCTCCCTTGAAGCAAAGCCATGCGAGGCAGGTGGATGATGTGTTCTTTCGATCTTTACACGTTGCTTTGAACTACCTTTGTAACTCGAAGGCTTCATTGTGCAATTATCTGTTTGCGGATCTTTCAGTAAGATCCTGGCAGCAGCTTTCTGTTGCCGGAGAGGACGTCAGTCGCACCCACCGGTCAGAGAGCAAAGGCAACATTTGCCCTGGCAAGTTTGATCCAAGGAACGTGTGCACTAGTACCTACAGTGAAACGACACTTCTGGTACCAGTGGTGTTAGGGAAAGACGGTGTAACATGTTCACAACAGCTGCCGCCGTGATCGTAACAGGAGCAATCAGAAACGCGAGACAATGAATAAGAGATTGTGTTCCTTTCACATGAATGGAAGTGGCAACGCAGAGCAGAGAAGCATCTACCATAACACAATGGGTTAGCATGATGGGGATGACGTTTCCAAGAGAAATAAGACAGATGATCAGGGGCTGGCGAACATGATGATCCTAGCGACTTGCATGTTAAGACACGTGGGGTAATGTACAGTAGGAGCCTGAAAAGCAGTCATAGCATCCCCTAGTACTCCCTGTTTGCAGAAGTTGCGAGTATCCCAAGATATACATCATAATCACATCCTGTCTAGCATGGAGATCGCCGATACATATGCCTGTAAACAGAATGTACCCAGCTTAAGTATGCAGGTTGTACGTGCAGATGTTTATGCAAGGAGGGTACGGCTTACGGTAATGAATTGCGGGTACACACACACACACACGCACACAATTGTAATTATACGCACAGGCAGAGATATGTCAGGTTATGTCGTATGTGTTTATCAGATGGAGCGAGAGACGGACTCAGACAGAGAGAGAGAGAGAGATGCAGCAAGTGAGTGATATGGTGGAGACGAGCAACACGCGCAGATATGAGCATAGACGGACAAACGACACCTTGAACCCCAAACCTCTATTTTAGACCCTAAGTTTCCAGGTCTATCGGCATCATGAACACCGGGATCACGGACCCAGAGGACTCCTGCTTCCCAGAGCTCATGACAATTTTTGCTATACCGTATATATATATATATATATAGATACAGTTTATGGTTTACTATAGTTTTATCATACTATAGAGTACAAAATGATATAGTTATATCATGGCGTTGCTCGAGTTGCAATGCCGGGTTCCGCCCTTGCGAATTGATAGCCACAACCAAGCTTGCTACAGACGCGAACCAGTGTCGACTGCCTCCATGAGCTTCTGTTGTAGGGCATTGTTTAGAGCTTGGTTTGGAGCAGTGTTTAGTTCCTGTTTTGCGGTGCAGGGCACTGGCTTGGTCACTGCAGTCAAGTCAGAGTTGCACGCCGGACTGCAGACTCGCTGAACCTTTTTTCGGCTGTGCGTGCAACCTTGGAAACTGAAGATGCTTGCAGGCACGCAAGAAGAAGCTTAATGCGGAGTTGGCCAATGGCAGGTTGGCCATGTTTGCCATTATCGGTGCCTTGGCGGCTCGTTTGTGCAGTCCGGTAGCATAAAGGGAAAGCTGCGGGTCAGTTTCGAGAATTCTTGGTTAGTACAACCTACTGTTGCTTATCACGACCACATGTGTGTCCGTTTTTTGATCATTGAGGCTTCCCTATCAGGCACATGACGATATACAACATATAGTATAGTTTCTAATTCATAAAAAACAATAAGTAACTTTAGGATGCACTGGCCAGTGACAAGTGACAAGCCAGTCGTAGAAGGATGCTTGAAATGATCCGGGAATGCGAGGCACCTACTTAACACGTACCTGCTGGTATCGTGCTGGTCAGCACATGATATCAGATCAGATTCATCCGAGCACATCACATTTTGCCCGTCGCCTTTCAATGCTATCGGCAAGTGGCCGAACTGTAATACCAATCCCGAGCGGCAACATCTCCAGTCCTACCCAACACCCACTACGCTACACCCGAGGCCCCGAGGACCACGCCAGCTCCGCTCCTCCAAGCCCCACCTTACTTGGAGGATCATGGGACTTAGTAAGTAAGGTTATAAGTCCTTTAATTTGGGTTATAAGTATAGTTACCCTAATTATAACCCCACTTACTAAGTCCCATGATCCTTTAAGTACCCTTGAACATGAAGCCCAGGCTCAATCTGCATCTTCCATATCAGTCATTGTTTAAGTTAAGCGCAAGTCGTCAAGTTTCGGTTTTTTTGGTCCGAAGGGGCTTATTTTTCACGAATATGACATAACCCTAAACCCTAAACCCAAATATAGCCGGAACCCTAAACCCATTGCTGGCTCTGGTGTTCAGCAGGTATGTTCTTCCAAGATGGTCTCACCGGCTCTGCTTGGGGCGTCCCCTGGCTACTGCTCGGCACCGAACTTCGAAGCCCTAAACGCCCGAAAGAACCCCTAGGCCCCATAGCAGTTCCTTTTTGGGATTACCTTCTAGGATTCTGGATATGAACCCCAAAAAGGAACTACTATGGGGCCTATGGGTAGAGTTTACGTCTGGTGGAAAGAACCGAGAATTATGTATTCAAGCCATAAGAAGGACCCCGAAAGAAGGTAGGTTGTTCCGGCTACAGGTAGGTCTTAGGGGATTGAGGGCTTAGGGTTTAGGGTTTAGGGTTTAGGGTTTAGGGTCTATAGTTTTATTTCACAACATCTTCAACCCCCAAACTTCTTCGAGCGAATCCCGCCCTGTCCGAAGGTAGGAGGGACTCTATAGCCCTAAGCTCTTAGCACTTAAACAGCCCTAAACCCCTAAACCCTCCTAAACCCTAAACCCCTAAACCCTGAACGCCCTAGGCCCTAAACCCTAAACCCTTAAAGCCCTAAACCCTGATCATCCCAAAGGCCTTCCTCTCGTGGCAAAGGCCTAAACCCTGAAGAGCTTCTTGCTGAGCCGTAAACCTTGACGTGTTTCTAAGGGTTTAGGTTTTAGAGTTTACAGGGGCCGTAACAATAATTAGGACAGGGTTTTGGGGTATATTCTACTTTTTTTAATGAGGAACCCCCACAACCCTTTTCTGATCACTAAGGCACCGACATTAGGTCTTGAACTCTTCAACCGCGAGCTTCCAAAAAATCCCGGAACCATCCGGAACCAGCGTTTCGACCGTATGCAGCAGGATCTTCTGCAGGGACCCCTGGACTACTTAAAGGATCATGGGACTTAGTAAGTAGGGTTATAATTAAGGTAACTATACTTATAACCCCAATTAGGGGACTTTTTACCTTCCTTACTAAGTCCCATGATCCTCCAGGTACTTTAAACCCCAAACCCAGGACTACCCTAAACCCAGGACCGAAGAGAACAAGAGGCAACCAAATGGGAAGACACTGTGCCTCAACGCCCCTGCGTAGAGATTCGTGGCTAGTAAAAAGTGGAGTTGCGAATCCTGTACTTCCAGCCCTACTTATATCTAACCACGAACCTCAAAGTACGAGCTCCAAACCCGAAGCCCCACTTAACGCCACCAATGAACCTCCAGAGCCGTGAGATACCATCCAGGTCCCTAGGTCCTACACCCCAAACCCCTACACCCTAAACCCCTAAACCTTAAAGCATATATCCCTAGACCCCTTAAAAGCCCTGAATCTGCGAGTGTGAGATCTGAGGACTGGTCTCTCTACACCGCCTCCCCTCTCCGGGCTTTCGAGGGTGAGCTGGGAGTCCAGGCGGTTTAGGGTCTGGGGTTTCGAGGGGTTTGGGTTTTAGGGTTTAGGGGTTTAGGGGTTTAGGGTTTAGGGTTTCGAGGGTGAGATGGCGGTTCAGGCACCGGCGCTCGTCTTTCTCTGTCTTTTGGGTTTTAGGGTTCAGGGTTTAGGGTTCGCTAGGGCTCCAGTTACTTACCCGATCTCTACGGTTTAGGGCTTTTGGTGCCTAGGGCTTTCGGTTTAGGTTACGAACCATCGTATAGTTTATAGCCCAGTAACCCATTGTTTACGGTAGCTAGCGGCCTATGGCTTGCTTACTCGCGGATTGTTGTTAGGAGTGTTAGGTTTTAGGGGCAACATAGGGACTTGGATGAGTTTGAATACTATTGAACCCTAAACCCTAAACCCTAAACCCTAAACCCTAAACCCTAAACTGAAAACAGCCCCGAAACTCAAGGCCCTCCTCCAATTATTGAGGCCCCTTTTTGGGGCAGTTCTCTAAATTAGGGTCCCTTTTGCTGGTCCTTTTTTTATAAGGGTGCCGTACTATACTGGGGACCTAGAAAGGGACCCTAATTTTGAGAACTACCCTTAGTGGTCTTCTGTACGGGGTTTCGGGGCGGGGGCGTCGGAGCTGCTAGCCACTTGCCGGGGCTTTGGTTTCCGGCTACTCGGATCATGACCCTAAACCCTAAACCCTAAACCAAACCCTAAATCACTAAACCGATGAGTCCAGGGTTTCGGGTTTAGGGTGGAACTTGCGTTTGGGATGAGAGGGTTACGTGGGGTTGAGGGTCTCTAGGAGTTTTTGCGGCTCTCTACTTGAAACCCCGACCTACCCCAGGAAGAAGGCGCTAAACCCTAAACTCTGAACCCTAAATCCTAAACCCTGAACCTCAAATCCTAAACCCTAAACCCTGGACCTTAAATCCTAAACCCTAGACCCCTAAACCTTAAATCCTAAACTCTAGACCCCTAAACCCTACCCAGAACGAAGGCCCCTGTCGGCTTCTGGGACCCCCTGGGGCTCTCCGCGGACGGCGATGCGGCCGTCTTCGCGCGTCGGCGTGAGGTGGAGCTGAAGCTCCTTGGACCTTACAAAGGAGGGTTGGGTTTTTAGGGTTTTAGGGTTTTAGGGTTTTAGGGTTTAGGGTTTTAGGGTTTAGGGTTAGGGTTTAGGCTTTAGGGTTTAGGGCTTAGGGGGTCTTTTGGGGACAAGGCTCTGTCATAAAACTGCGTCCGACCGGCTTTACAGGCTGCTTCTTTATCAAGCCCTTGGGCTCGATAAGGCATGAAAAGGCTTTACAAATAGGTCTTTAACTTTAGGTCGTTTTGGAGTTTTTGTTGGGGGCCTTCCCTTGAACCTCACAGCCAGAATTTGACATCCGGGAGCCCGGAAAAAAGAGCCTTGCGTGTACGCATAAACCTTGGAACCGTTTATGATTGTAATCTACCCCCCAAAAGGGGGTAGTAAATCTAGTATTGGAGTACATACTTTATATAAGGGCCATATAGTAGAACCGTAGTATGAAACCCTGGTAATAAACAAAAAGACGATAAACGCGGTATGACAGAACAGGGCCTGGAGCCTGAGCTGTGGCAGACGACTCCGGAAACAAAATCCTCAACCCGAAACCCTTGGCCGCTACACGTAAAGCCTGAAAGCCTTGTGGTACTCAAAGCCCTAAGCCCGAGCAGAACTTTGTAGTGACCCTACGGTGGCCCTGAAACCGCTCCTTTACCCAACCGAGGCACGGCAGGATTTCCATGTTCGCCACGATTGGCTTCCTGGCCGACAGCTTCAAACCCTTTGAGGATCTGGGGATGCTGAATCCCAAACGCCCTTTACAAATTCAGCTCAAAAAACCCTAAGCCCTTAACCCTGAACCCCAAAGCTATGAAGCAGATGGATCCTTGTCGGCAGGAAGCTTGAACCCGGATCTCTTCTGCCTCTAGTCGCTTACAACACAACAGAGACATGGATCCGCTGTTCGGGATGAGTCGGTGTGCTTCCTGTCGCAATGTGGGTAGTTCTCTTAGTTAGGGTCCGTGTTTTAGGTACCCAAACTAGTGCGGCACCCTAAAAAACAGGATCCTAAAAGGGACCCTAGTTTAGGGAACTACCCACATAGAACCCTTCTAGTACCCTTATAGAAACCCTGTAGAAACCCTAACAGGTCCCTTTCTGGAGCCCGTTTAGAGAACTACCCAAAAGAGGATTAGGTATCAGCGAGCCCGCAAACAAGAAACAACCCCAAACCTCAACGCCGAATAATCCGGTCCCCGAGAGCCCGCAAAAGGGTTTATGCCTTAGGGTTTGGGGTTTAGGGGTTAGGTGATGAGTGAAGTATTGAAAAAGTCGAAGACTCAGTTGGTAAGCTAAGACACTGAGATGATCATTAGTGAACTGAGAAACCAGGGTTTAGGGTTTAGGGTAGTAATCGCTCAGCCAAAAGCCTTAAATATGGGCGCCTAAATAAATACCAACACTATTTTGGGGCTTCCTTATTATATAGGTATAGTTATAATATACCCCAAAACCCTATTCGAATTATTAAGGCTTCTACATTGGGGGTAATCGGGTCCCTTCTTACAAGGGCTACTTCAAGGGATCTATAATTATTAAGGCCCCAAACCCTAAACCCTAAACCCTAAACCCCCAACGTTAAACCCCGGAGACCCCGAGAGGTTACATCGTGCCGGAGTATTTCCGCTGGCCCGGTGAGCTCTCCCCGAAGTTGGGTCTGAAGAGACTCGGCTCCTGTGGAGTTTGGGGCTTAGGGTTGAGGTGTTAGGGCTTAGGGTTTAGAGTTTAGGTTTTGGGGTTTAGGGCTTAGGTGTTAGGGTTTAGAGTTTAGGGGGAAGAGACTCGGCTTGACGAGCCTCCCTAGGGTGTTTTTGGGGCCCTTGTTTCGGGGTTTGGGGATGTTTAGGGCGTGTTGGGCAGTATCGCGTCCGCAAGTAAGGTAGTAGGCTTTGTAGTTTAAGTGGGGCTTTACGTGGTTTGTGGGAGCTTGGGGGCGTACCAGGGTTGATAGTTGTAGGGTTCATATTGGGGTGGATTGTAGAGGGTTTGTAGTTTAGGTATATAGTAGGCTTTCATTTATACTAGAATTTCGCGATGCGGTGTGTGTGTGTGTGTGTTGGTTTCCTTCTGGGTATTACGGGTAAGCAAAAGCTACTGCACGTCGTGAGCTACAGTACACATTTTTTTAATATTAGGGATAACTCGAAGGATATCCTTGTCGATTAGTTGCCATGTTACATCATTCACAGGAGCCAAGTCAAGCAGCAAAAGTGCAGTCCTATTGCCAAGAGCAGCAGCAGCACTAGCAATGGAAGCACCAATCTTGCGCTAATGGAAGTCATGGCACGAGGTGCAAGAGCAAGAACATCGTCATATTCCTCGGGATTTGTAACCATGAGTCTCTTATTAAGGTGTTTAGGGCCTAGGGTTTTCGTCGACGCTGGCACCGGTGATGTTGGCCTCCATTGCAAGATTAGGAAGACCAGCTTAACACCCGTCAAGCTCCTGCCTTCAAGCTTCTCAGGCTCATCCCCAAAGCCGAACAGCCTTCAACGGCTCCAAACACTCAATGTCGAACCTTTGAAAACACCAAACCCTTCCCCAAGCATGTTCAGGAGGTTAAAAAATCAATCAGACAACCTCGAACACCAGACATATACCTGCCCAGAACGCTTACAGCAACCCTTCGAGTAAGCCTACACCCTTAACCCTAAAACCCTAAAACCCAAAGCCCTAAAACCTCTGAAATCCTAAACCGTGAACCCTAAAACCCTAAACCTCTAAAACCCAAAACCTCTAAAACCCTAAACCGTGACTCCTTGGAGCCGAGGTTCACCGACATCCCGAATGGGCTGGCTGCTCTCACGAAGGCTTCAAACGCCGCAGTCGTGATGGGCTTTGAGGTGTATCTTAGACTTTTTGAGGCTTTGAGGTGTATCTGAGGCTTTTTCGGTTCAGGGCTCAGGTTTTAGGGCATGCTCTCTCTCTCTCTCTCTCTGTCTCCCTCTCTGCCTCCTTGTCTCTCGAAACACACACACACACACAGACAGAGCCATGCATGCATCATGCATACATACGTACATGCATAGTCGGCTGTGTATATATATATATATACACAGTATATATCGTCATAATGTAGATGTAAGGTTAGGTATGTTTATACCTACAGATATGCTTGTATACCCAGACATATACTCATACACGTGGGTGAGCATGTTGCGTAATAGCATGCAGCATGTGTACCCAACTTCTTTGCAGGTGCCTGGCCAGGGTTGGGGTCAGATCGTGGCCTTCCTGGGAACCTACGAGCTCTTCATCAACAAGCCTGCCGCTGGGCAGCGTAGTTGCTGAGTTGACCTGTACCGAGTTACATATGGTATTTTGCGCCATGGTGCATTAAGGTATGGTGCATGTTAGTCTGTCGGTTGTAATTTTCATGACATGCTACTTCATACTTCATACACTGGACATTATGGGATATGTATCGAAGAGCGTACCGCCAGATTGCGTAATATGTAGTGTCATGTAATGTATAGTGTCTGTTGTACCCAAAGATATCCAAACAGAACCCGAGGCTCAAGACCCTACCTACAGTCTCCATTGTAGTTCCTTTTTTTGGTTTAACCAATTATATATTAAGGATTCTATAAGGTATCCCCAAAAAGGAACTACAATGGAGACTGTAGGTAACCCCCTAAAACCCCGACCCTCGCCTCGAGATGGGGCTTGCGTTCACGCCCCATCACCCCCAAAAAATCCCACACCGTCGAGCCCTTCTCGAGACCTTGAGTTGAAGCCCTGTAAACGTAAAGCCCTAAGCCCTGAACTCTAAACCCTAAGCTCTAAACCCTATAAACTCTAAACCCTAAACCCTAAACTCTAAACCCTAAACCCTAAACCCTAAACTCTAAACCCTAAGCCCTAAACCCTAAACTCTAAGCCCTCACTCTACATTACCGCAGTAGAGAGGTCGGCGACGAGCCGGGCAACTACGGCAAGGGCAACTTGGGTCTCGGCTTCCTCGGCTCTGTGGCGGACCCCGAGGCGGGTGTCCCGGAGTGTTGCCGGTTTAGGGTTTGGGGTTGAGGGCTTTGGGTTTAGGGTTTAGGGGGATTTGGGTTTAGGGTTTAGGGTTTTGGGTTTAGCGTTTAGGGTTTAGGCTTCCTTAAAGGGTTGGGGGTTCCTGTTGTTTTGAGGGGTTTAGGGTGCTGGAAAGGTTTCGGCGTGCTGTTTTGTGCGCTCTTTGTCTTTGGGGAGGGGGGTAAAGGCCTTGTGTTAGGTCGGCGAGGTTGAGGGTTGACGATGCATACAGCTTCGGTGTAGGGTACTGTTTTTCGTTGTTCAGGGTGTAGGTTCGAGCTCGGGGTTTCTTGTTGAGGGTGCTTTGGATTTGTTGTTGAGGGCTGAAGGCTTCGATATTCCTGTCAACTCGCATCTCGCACCCGGGACATGTGCACAGCTTGCCAGCCAAACAAACCCTCAGGCGCGCAAGAAAAAACTGTCTGCGGAGTTGGCAAACGGACGCTTGGCGATGATGGCCATCATCGGTATGCAACCTGGCCACAACAAGGATTACTGTCAAGTTTCTACAAGGGTTACTATAGGAGTCCTCTAAGGTTCTAAGGATTTCTCACGGGATCAGCTCGGAAGAATCGCGAAGCATTTCTCGGTTCGTAGGGAGGTACCAGTTCATTGCTTCGATATAGCTTTGGGTCATATGTCAAACTGTCCTGAGTGTATTCATTCAGGTTGTTCCAGGACGGACTCACCGGCTCCGCGTGGGGTGATTGGGCGCTGTACACGGACTCCCCTCTTCGCAGTGGACTGATGAGCCCGGGTTACAACACCCTGCCCGAGTGGGAGAAGCCCAACACTGGCTT